GAATTGGGGTTCTTTCTTTGAGTCATAAGGCATAGTGTTTGCAATGATAGACTGCTCGGACTCGAAGAAGAGAACCCTTTACTTTTTATTGTCATATAGTTGCAGGGGAAAAGTGATTTTTGCCAAGTTGTTGCACACAGCAACCTCATGAATGTGAGTGTTGTGTGTATATTTTTCTTGGGGTTTCATTAGAAGATTCTTCTTCTTCTTCTTCTTCTTCTTCTTCTTCTTCTTTTTCCTTCGGAGGGGCTCAGAAAGTTGAGATTTTTCATTAGAATAAAAGGGTTTTGTTGTGAGTGTGAGATGGGTGAGAAAAGGCAAGGGTACCATATGTTGGCCCTCAGGGTGAATGAACAATTGGGCATAAAGAAAAAGTATTCTTTAGTGCACAAAGCTTTGAACCCCAGAATACTAGTGGTGTTTTGGATCATGGCAATGCTGTTTGTGAGCTCGCGCGTGTATGAAAACATGGATGAGGAGCAGAAAGAGAAGAGAAAAGAAGTGCTTGTGAGCATGTGTGAGCAGAGGGCAAGAATGTTGCAGGACCAGTTTAGTGTCAGCATTAATCATGTTCACGCACTTGCAATTCTTGTCTCTACATTCCATTTTTACAAGAACCCCTCAGCAATTGATCAGGTTTGTTATTATTCTCATCAAAATTGGTGTTCTGTGGGAATTTGTGGGATGAACATTGTATAGAAAAAAAAGTTAAATGTTGTGGTGAATGCAGGAAACTTTTGCTGAATACACAGCTAGAACTGCTTTTGAGAGACCACTATTGAGTGGTGTGGCGTACGCGCAGAGGATTCTTCTCTCGGAGAGGGAGGAATTCGAGAGGCAGCACGGCTGGACCATTAGGACAATGGAGAAAGAGCCTTCGCCTGTTAGAGACGAGTATGCTCCCGTGATATTCTCGCAAGAAACCTTGTCCTACCTTGGCTCACTTGATGTGATGTCAGGAGAGGTACTATGATTCTGATCCTTGTTTTCTTTTATGTTGTATCTTTCTTTTTCATTTTTCCTCTATGTTATGCTATTTGTTTTATGTTGGGACAAATGTTCTATTGTCTGATTAATGAATTGCTTACACAGGAGGATCGTGAGAACATACTGAGGGCCCGGGCTACTGGTAAAGCGGTTCTTACTAACCCATTCAGGTTGCTCAACTCTCATTTAGGGGTGGTTTTGACTTTTCCGGTTTACAAATTCAAGTTGCCACCAAATCCAACCGTGGAAGAGAGAATTGAAGCAACAGCAGGGTAATTGCGTTAGTTATTATTCTCTTTCATGTCTTGAGTTGTTTATGTGGAACTCTTTACGGAGCATACTGTTGTGCAATATATGTACTCTGTGTGTGTGTGTGTGTGTGTGTATAATAATTGTATTAGGTTGTTTGTTCGTTCTCATAGTAAAAAATCACTCGAGTATTATTTGATCTGTGAAAAAATGGACCATTCTTGGGATTGCCAAATACTTAAATTTATGTTAAGTGACATGTGTCGATTGTATGATCCTGTGGTCGTTTGAACAATTTATCTGTTCATAGAGGCGAAATGGCTGATAAATGTTATCTCTTTGTTTCCCTCTCTCTATTGTAATTAAGCATTTGCAACAAAATGGGTCTATTTTAGTTGATGAAAAGAAGCCACTTGCAATAAGAACTTCCTTGCTATTGAATAATGATGTTTAAGTACTTTGCGCATTTCCTTTTGCCAGTTTTATCCTTGATGAAGTTTAAAAAGTTTGTGTGATTAAGGGGAAATTTACAGTGCTACAAGATGTTGGCCATTGATGAAAACTCTGCTCAAATATGACCAGTGTATACATGATCATATATGTGTATACTGCAGTTAGAGGCTCTATGGTAATTAAAAATTGTTGGTTATGCATTGAACTCGTAACTTTTACATTTGATGAAGGAGCAATTTTTCTATTTTTGTTCTTTCAATTTGAAATATTGATGGATGTGTGGTGTCGGATATTGTCGTCATTACTGCTGATGCTTCCTCTTCTATCTGTGGTGTTGGCTTCTGTTTTATGCAAGTGCCTCTGTATTTGTTATGCATACTTCTCTTGTATTGCTTACATGACTGTTATTCTGATAAGAATTAGTGAAAACGGCATTTTACTTTCTAACCTTTCAACTGTTAAATGATGTGGAGTAGGTACCTTGGTGGAGCCTTTGATGTTGAATCCCTTGTCGAAAATCTACTTGGCCAACTTGCAGGGAACCAGGCTATAGTCGTCAATGTATATGATATTACCAACTCATCTGACCCGTTGATCATGTACGGACACAACTCTCAAGATGGTGACATGTCAGTTAAGCATGTGAGCAAGCTCGATTTTGGCGACCCTTTTCGTAAGCACGAGATGATTTGCCGGTAGGTGCTCAGATCTATTGGTCATTTTTTATTTTTATTTTTTTAATTTTTTTATTCCTCATAAAGAAATAAAAATGGGAGCCATGACTTTTGATCTGTAGGTATCTCACTGAGGCTCCCACATCATGGCATGCACTTCAAACAGCAGCCCTCGTCTTTATAATTGGCTTCCTGATTGGATATATGGCGTATAGTGCTGTAAGCCACATTGTTAAAGTCGAAGATGATTTCAATAAGATGCAGGAACTTAAAGTTCAAGCCGAAGCTGCTGATGTGGCCAAATCTCAGGTTACTATTCATATTCTATGTTCCTCATGGAATATCTTTACAATTCGATTCTCACTTTCTTGAAAACCTGAGGTCTTCGATATATATTATTTGATGTGCAGTTTTTAGCCACTGTCTCTCACGAAATAAGAACTCCGATGAATGGGATCCTAGGTAAATTTTCGTCTCCCTCTCATTAAATATATTTTTTTTTTTTTTTTTTAAATTTTTTCAAGTATCTGTTTATATATTCTTGTTGAAGTTATTTTTGTCAGATATTTAGTAGTTACTAGGCCGTTATTGTACATAACTGTGGGTTGAACATATATATAATCTTTGATGGGAGCTGGGAGGTGAATACAGGTTGTTTCTTGTACTTGCAGGGATGCTACAACTGCTGCTAGATACAGAACTTAGTTCAACACAAAGGGACTTTGCTCAAACAGCTCAGGGCTGTGGTGAAGCACTTATAACCTTGATAAATGAGGTGCTTGACCGTGCAAAGATTGAAGCTGGAAAGCTAGAGCTCGAGGCTGTCCCGTTTGACCTTAGGTCGATTGTTGATGATGTTCTTTCCTTGTTTTCCGAAAAATCTAGGCAAAAGGGCATTGAGGTGAGTCTGCAGATACTGGTTTTTATCTTTAATTTCGATATTCTTCAGGTTGTAATTTGAAGTCAGTAATAGAATTTAACTAACCGGAAACTGCAGTTGGCTGTATTTGTCTCAGATAAAGTGCCCGAGATTGTCGTGGGTGATCCAGGAAGATTCAGGCAGGTCATCATCAATCTTGTTGGAAATTCAGTGAAAGTAAGCCTGGATTTTTTAATCAAAATGGATTTTCATGTCAGCTCCTGGCAGAAGGTTTTTGATTTATGCTAAGCATGGAGTAAAATAACCAAAAACCAAAAAAAAAAAA